CTATGGAGCTATTTGTAAGTTTTGCTATCGCTACATAGCTAACGTTAGCGTTAACAGCTGTTTTGAATCCAACTTTGTTCCTTCACTCACTCAACAGCTGTCTCCAGAGGTGGAAAGCAACTCTTGTCTCTGTCACGTCTGTTTTCTTCCACTGAAGCTAGCACGCTAACCAGCTAGCTCCGGCCTGTCCCGTCACTTTTCCGATAGCGACTCACTGTAGCCTCCGATCCGGCTGAATATCTGTGAGCAGGGCATCGTAGGTGTTACGACAGCCTGCTTTTTAATTCGCTCCAGGGCTGTGAAAGTCACTAACACACATACACTGGTATGATACTTTTTTTTTTTTTTTTTTTTTCCAGTTCAAGTAGGATTCTCTTGTTTTTCAGAGCTAGCCAAACATCCTGCATATTCTTTGCTCCGCTCCAACACTAAAACAGTGCAAACATTCCCTCAGTGAACACTTTTGCCCAAAAGTTCACAGATGGCTCAGTCGTATTTGCACATCCTGCTGTGATGTTGTCACACATTGTTTGGGACTGGGAGCACCGTATCCTCCTGTGTTCCCTTCTCTCTGGAACGAGTGAAACACACACAAACACAGCGAGAGAGAGAGAGAGAGAGAGAGAGAGAGATGACGCTGAGTAAAAAGCAGTACAGCTCCAGGGTTGAGTTAGTGAATGAATGAACCATTATCGCACGGCTTTCTGGGGCAGAACACGCACAGGAGCGAAGACACAGTCTCCTCGTTTTATTTAGATTATTATTTCCGCTCTTTCTTCAATATTTAGTTTTGTTTCGGAGACACATCACAGAACAGCAACACACATTACACAACATGTGAGCAGTATGCTCAGTCCGTCAGAGCGTGCTGTACAGTATCTTAGTCTGGTTCGTCGCCTGTATGTTGAACATTTACATTAGATTTTCTCAGCCTGAGGCCGTGTGCGATGAGTCGGATCTGCTGCGACGCGTCACTCTCTCTCCGGGGCTGTAGCTGTTCTGGAGGATTCCCGCGCGTGCAGCAGATCTGCGCCGATTATTTTTATTTTCTGTGTAAAGCGGAGGAAGTCACGTCCGTTAAGGTTCACGGTTTATGTCCATCTTGACACTCGCTCCTTCATGTGTCCGTTGAAGGAGTTACCGGTTGTTAAGACTGTTCCTTATCTCCACACCGACCATGAAGTGTGATCTCAGTCCTTGTTCTGTGTAAAACTGGATTCTGACTGTGAGTTCAGCTTCATCTGAACGAGATGGTGAAATCCTCCAAATATCTAGTTATTTCACTGCAAAACCGAATTCCTGTCTGAGCTGCAGGGAAGTGAACTTCTGTAACTTTGGTCAAAGTTGTTGAAAATGTTGAAAAGTGAAAACTTACATTATCTCAAATGTTTCCAGCACTTTTCAAACCAATGCGAAATCCGACTGATTTTAATCACGGTAACCCGTACGTGTCGTTTCGTCGCCTGTCAGTGACATCATCATCTCCCCCGTGCACGTGTGTCCGCGTTTTGTTTTCACACCTTTGTTTTTACACCTTGGTCGTTTTCAACTGTGTCTTTTAACCAGATGAAGGATTTTATTCATCAGATCAGCTCCTCCAACATTTCCTGTGTCCATTGAACTGAGCGTCTGTGAATCAATGCGTTGGCGTTTCTCCCAGTTTTAATCCCCTGGTCCGTCTGTTATGGCGATGGACGACACCTCTGTGGATAATTCAGCTGCTGGTTAAAAAACAAAAACCTGCTGAACATCTGGTTCATAAGTTATGAGAGAACAAATGTTAGCAGCAGAGTAACGAAGGTTGTGTTTGTGCGGGAACGTGAGAGCTGCTGGGAAACATGGAGCTACCTTTTAGGATTAATAAGTCGCAGTCGTAAAGCAGCTTAAAGTGAAAGTATTAGAGTTCAAATATTTTAGTAAATGCGCTCGATTACATACGTGAAATACAGTGTTTGTGTTTGTTCTCACCAGTGGATCAGTTTAACCCTTCACTTAACCGAATGATCACATGAGGATCACGCCGCCTGGTGTAGTGCTTATTAAAGACGCGTCGTGTCAACAGACGTTATCGCCGCTCTCTAATTACAACGTGGGAGAAAAAAAACTAAACAAAAAAAAAAAAACATAAATACACATATACACATACACACATCTGACAGCTCGCTCAGCCGTGACTTTAGATGTCTTATCGCTCAATTAACCCAGTAGGTGACCGACACAAGGTCATGTCATCTCTGATCATATTTACTGACGCACACGCCGCCGCCGCCGCCGCCGCCGCCGCTGCTGTATGCACATCACAACAGTATTATGTTAATGCTGTGTGTGTGTGTGTGTGTGTGTGTGTGTGTGTGTGTGTGTGTGTGTTTGTGTAGGGATGTGCCTGGAGGGGAGGGGTGAGAAAAGAAACACAGAGATACACTGAGACAAGAGGCTAAAAAAATAAATAAATAAATTGTTAAAGAGAGAGGATTTCAAAGAGAGAGAGAGAGACGGAAAAAAAAATAACCTTTGAAATAATTCTCTCTTCCTTCTGTCTCCAATTTCCCCATTTTTCAAACACTGGGTTTATCCCATTGGCCCATTATGAAACTTAGAGACAAAAGCTTTCTAATCCTGGCACTGCCTTTGATGGCTGGATGTGTATGCAAGTCACTGAGTGTGTAAGTGTGTATATATGTGTGTGTGTCTCACTACTATATTAGTGTGCTTGTGTGTGTGTGTAAGTGTGTGTGTGTGTGTGTGTGCGCTTGGCGTTAGCTAATGCTGCTCTAAGCTGCATACTGAGTTGTCCTACAGCACTCAGTTGTATATATGTGTGTGTTTGTGCAAACCTGCAAGTGTGTGTGTGTTTATGTTAGATTAGACTGAACTGAAATTATCTCCACGGGGACATTGGGCTGTTGCTGCATCAAGAATAAGATACATCAAAGAGAAATGGCTTCCACATAAACAGGGCTTCTGTATGCAGCCCAAACTTCTCCCAGCTGTCAGAAAAATTTTAAATCAAAGTGTGCAAAGTGAGGATTTAACAGCAGGGACTGCATGTGGAGACTGTGTCAAAAGCAGCGGAACATGCTTAAGCAAATTTTGCAGCAGAAATGAACAGGAAGTGTGTCACCTCCTCCTTCATCCACCTTCAGGTTTATGGATGACGCATCGAATAAAACTTTGGCCCAAACTAAAAATCTGGTCTCAGGTGTAGCTGGTCCCTAGAAACCGTTGCTGTCAAGGAAACTTTTGTTGCCGTTGGCTACAGATAATCTACATCGATAAGCCCCGCCTCCCTACTTCCATCCTTCCCTCTGATGCCGACGCCGTGACTTCATTCTCTCACATCGCATCTTTCCCACGTTAATCATCCGTGTTTCTTCTTTCACACACACACGCCCTTTGCACACATTCATAGGGTTAGTGAGCTTAGTGTGTATCTGTGTGTGTGTGTGTGTGTGTATCTGTGTGTGTGTGAGTGTGTGTGTGTGTGTGTGTGTGAGTGTGTGTCTGTGCCTGGGGCGTGCCTTGAGGCGGAAAGCACTGAAACCAAAGCTGCTGGGGCAGTTAGAAGAAGGGATTCATCATCACAGCAGGGGGAGGCTCTTACAGTGCATCCAAGATGGCTGCTGTCGTTATTCACCTTCCACTGACGGTGCAAAGGGAAGCTGTTTAGCTCAGAAAATATTATATCACATATATGTGTAGAATCGGGTGTGTAAGCCACATGTGCCAACTTTGCCAACGAGAGAGATCTTCTCGTCTTTAATTTCGATGTTAGAAGAAGCAGAAACCTTCCCAGCACAGCAGCGTGGGGACATCATCATCCTGATCCATGACGCTCATCAATACAACGGCGTATTCGGGCCATTGTAGGTAAAAAAAGACAATAAAAATGACAGAGCCGGAGAGGAGGGTAATATTCTGAGAAATAACAAGAACAGTAAATTTAGGAGAGAATCCAAGTTTTCTCTGAGATTATAAAGTCGTAAATATATTTGTCAATCACAGAATTTACTGCTGATATTTTATAGTTTATCTAAATGATCTCAGATTTTAGAGTACGTCTCTCACCCGGCTCCATATTTCTTCTTTTTCTTTTTTTACCTATATAAACCCTAACACGCCGCCGCACACCAACGCTCTCTTCAAAACTCATTGGTACAACTTCCTGCTCGTAATCTCTGCCCACCAAAAACTTCCGCTGTTATTACAGAGCTAACCACGACCCCTTGACCCCTGTCTCTTGAATTGGCCTCTTCTTGCTGTGGTGTTTAGGTCTAAGGGCTTGTGGGAAATGGTGTTTGTTAAAAGCCACAATAAAACAAATAAACACTGATATTATCTGACTGTGTGCTGTGTTAATCCAAACATATGCAGGGAGCCACATGACAGACTGTGCTGTTGAGAAAAGGATTTTCAGTAATTAACGTTTGCTACAAATATCTACGATATTTTGTTTGTTTGTTTGTTTGTTTGTTTCGTCCTTGTGTTGTTGTTTACATTACGTGGTGAACGCCGTGTGGCAAAGGTGAGTCCAATATGAGGATCAGTGTCCGAACGAAGGCACCACACTGAGAAAACTCTACACGGGCAGACGTGATGTCTTCGGCTCATTCTCACTATTAAACCTTCATTTACCGGCAGATTGTTGAGTTTATATGTTGGCGCTGGATGTCGAACAGCTACTGGTGATTAGTTGGGAATAATTTAAACAGAACGTGGAGCAGGACGAGTTAAAATCTGTGTTTAATGTGCTTTTTATTTCTTTTTCTTTTTTTTATTTATTCTCCTCCATCCTCCATTTCTCTCTCTCTCTGTCTCTCTGGTGAGCATTTTAAATCAGGGTCACAGTAGGGAGGCAAGCTGCCTAGTAACAGGTTCAGCTACACACACACACGCACACACACACACACGCACACACACACGCACACACACACACACACGCGCACCTCTATCTCTGCTCACATCACAACACACTGTATTTTTCTCTCTTTGTGTCTCTGTAGGGAGTTTGGCTGGAGGGATCCAGAGCTGCCAGAGGTGATCCAGATGTTGCAGCATCAGTTCCCATCAGTCCAATCCAACGCTGCCGCGTACCTCCAGCACCTCTGCTTCGGAGACAACAAGATCAAATCTGAGGTATTGATCTCTAAAGGGGGAAAGCACGCCAAGAGACGGGACTCTCGAACACGGAGGGTTGACGTGAGGTGGCCCCTGACTCGCACCGTCTCTTTTATATACACAGACGCGAAAACAAGCATTCTTTGTTAGTTACTTTCCCTACAAAATCATACACAAATAGAGCAATAAATACAAGTGTTTCCACAATTTCATGCGTCCACGCCGGTGACAGCCACGGCCGGAGGCGTCATGTTTTCGGGGGTCGTCCGTCCGTCTGTCTCGTTCTCCTGAGCGAGATATCTCACCAACACGTTGAGGCAACTTCATTTGGTTTTATGTGCCAGAAACCAGGAAGTAGTCGATGTACGTATTGAGAGCAACGTTCGATTCCCGTGTGACAGTACGGTGTGAGGACGGTTTAAAAAGTGCTAAACAAAGATGTAATGTAATGCACAGGAAGTTGATGGTAAAACTAATCCTGCATTTGGCAGAATGACTCCATGAAGGACTTACTCTGAAGGAGCGGCATTTCTGATTCCATTTATTTATGTATTAACACATAGAACCACGAGAAACACTGTACTGCAGTATGCTGAGGTTATTGTGTGTGTGTGTGTGTGTGTGTGTGTGTGTGTGTGTGTGTGTGTGCGCACGAGAGTCTTTATTCAGGGGAAACTCCATCCCACATGTGTGCAGCTGTCTGAGCTCCACCAAACTCCGCATTAGACGGCATTAACTCCTCATTACGCGCACTTAACCCGACTCTGAATACCGCCCTGTTCCCGCCGCCCGGTCCTCCTGTCCCTTTAGAGCCGCCGTCGCTCCGTGTCTCGGAGCGAACCGCTCCGTCTGTCTCTTCAATGTCAACTCAATTCCGCTCAATTTTCGACTTTATTAATCCCCACGGAGACGATGGATTTGAGAGCAAACAAAGTTCTTCAAACAGCAATCAGCCAACTGGCATTAAAAATAGAGAGAGCGAGAGAGATGTATAAGAGAGATGACTGATGCCGGGGCTGTAGGGGAGTGAAGTATGGGAGTATTTAGAGCGAGGCTGCCAAACCGACACCTCACAGGCCAAATTGTTTTTTGCCCTTGAGAGAGAAGTCTGAATGGAGAAATAAAAGACTGGATGCTGAGGGATATAAATGGCCTCCTGCCTGTTCGCTCTCCCAGCACTGAACACAACTGTAAGTGTGTGTTTGGTGTGCTTGACTTACTGTGTAAGTTGTGGATGAGTCACTAAGGGGAGAGAAGAATATTAGTGGGCAATAATTTCAGTCAATCAGCTGCTAGTTTTAACCAATTAACCAATTAAAAGTGTGAAAATATTAAAGGAAATGCACACAGCCTGTATTCAGACACTGAGCCTTAAAACCAGCCGTCAGCACTTCTGGAACTTTGTGATGTCACAACAAAGCAGTCACCAAGCCCCGCCCACCTGGACCCACCATCCAAACCTTTGCAGGATGCGGTTTCTCTGAGTGTTTTACCTGAAATCTGCTTTATTTTTATTGGATCATTCAGAAAACAGTCAGCAGCCAATCAGACGAGAGGCTCAGAGCCTCCTCTCCTCTCTTTTTCAGCTTCATTAAATAAGCAGTAACAGATATAATAATTACTTGCAGTCCTTGCTGAGACAACTTCCTGTTCATTTGTTTTCTTGTGGAGTTGGGTAAATCTAGTTCGGCAGCTAGTTGTTTGATTTAATTAAGTTTAATTGTTTGGTGATTTTTTTTTGGCATAACACTCATTACAGGGTTCATTACTGAAGGAGCTAATGTCTATCTTAAGTTTCTAATCAGTGCCCAGTTTGAGGTTTTCACCCATGGTGCATCAGCTGAAAGCGGCTTCATACCTTTATTTTCAGGCACCACAGACTCAACGTTCCAGCTGCCACGTCTCCGAACTGTCTCCTTCTCTGAAATGTCTTCTTTTGGTTTTTGTGGAGAGGAAGAGGAGGCAGCCTGCCCTACATTCTCTCTTTGTTTGTTTGAAAGCGAGGGGGACACACGGGGACAGAAAGTGCAGTGGCTGGCATTTAAATAAATCTTGCATCAGTGCCACAGAAGCTGCTGCGCCCTGTTTATTTTCCAAGTGTGGTGAAAAATTAATATTTACACGATAACCTAAAATTTAGGTTTTCCTCATACCCACCACATCAAGGGGTGAAACTGTTTTTTCTCACGGAGGTAAACAAACGCGGATATCTTCAGCTCCTGCGCTCTGCCCGTAGACACCAGCAGACATATTGTAGAGGGGGAATCGACACCAAGGCATTTAAGCGTACGCTGATTCCTTTCCTCCTTCCTCTGCCCTCAGATCCGGCGGCAGGGCGGCATCCAGCTGCTGGTGGACCTGTTGGACCACCGGATGACCGACGTCCACCGCAGCGCCTGCGGAGCCCTGAGGAACCTGGTTTACGGCAAAGCCAACGACGACAACAAGATCGCCCTGAAGAACTGCGGAGGCATTCCTGCTCTGGTCCGGCTGCTGCGCAAGACCACAGACGTGGAGATCCGAGAGCTGCTCACAGGTAAAACAAAAACACAAAAACACAATCTGCGCAGGAACTGAGATCACAGCATTTCCCTAAATTCTTTCCACTGGAAAAAACACACAGGATTTTTGGCGTTTGCTTGTGTGCCTGCGTGAGTTTAAATGTCCAACCTTGATATATACAGTATATATATATATATATATATATGTATGTGGATCACCTTTTCTGGGGCAGAAGTTTCTTCCAACCACCTTTCATGCTAAAATCGTCGTAGTATTTTTAGAATTATCAGAAATGAACTTGTGGCTGGTGCTGATGGTTGAGGAGCTGATGGAGCTTCAGCCATCACTGCCTTTACAAAACAAGAGGTTATAAAACGCCATATCTCTTCTGCCTCCTCTCTACCTGCTGTCATATTGTTTTCGTTACCGGGGCACAATGAATCTTGGGATAGTTTGGGCCACGAAGGATCCACCTGATCCAAAGACGCATTTGAAGGAGCCTTCGAAATGCAATTGGTCTTCAGATGCAGCTGTATTAGGACACAGCTATTATCGGAAATGCCAATACGGTCCAGCTGGACTGGGGCTAGCTGGTTAGCATGCTAACTTCAGTAGAAGAAGAGAAGTGATAGAAATAGAAGCAAATCAAGAGTTAACATCGGCGTTGCTTTCCACCTCTGGAGGCAGCTCCTGGTGAGTGAAGGGATGAACTTTGATGTTGAACTCACAAACGTTATAAACTGGAAAGTAAACGGCTGTTAATGGATGAATTAGCTATGTAGCTATAGCATAACACACAGTTAGCTCCTACAAGCCCTCACATGCACACACATTCCTGCAACTGCACATCTACAACCACACACACACACTCAGATGAAGAACACCCAGTATTGACTTATATACACACACACTCACACACACACACACACGGCAGAGAGAGTTGTTTACTATCTGCCTGTTTCCTGCCTCTCATCAAGTGCTGTTGACTTGTCTGTTGACTCGTCAAACCGGGATACACTGCACCCGTATCCTCAGCAGGTTCGTACTCCCTGTCAGTAAACACTGAAAAGGATTCATTAGTTCGAGGTTCTGAACCCACCGAGGTCCGTGCTGTAAACTCACCGGTCACACAGCTCTTCCCCGAGTATATAACATCTGCAGTTCCTTTTTCTAATTCACATTCACGTGGCCGTGGCGAAGGAACCCTCAGCCCTGGAGTGGGATGGAGACATGAAAGAGCTACAGGAGGAATACTGCTCTCACTCTCGAAACTGATCTATGTCCGCAATCCCCGCGGGGGAAGGGGGTGGGGGGGTGGAGAGGTTGGGGGGTTATTCCAATCCAGGAGCCAGATGAGAAAATGGATTTTTCTTATCCAACCGATCATGAAAACATGGCGCTGCTGTACGGCCTGTAAGGAGCATGATCATTTCAAGGCTTGACACTCTCTGGAGCAGGATAATTCGTTTCCTTAAATTTCAGAAAACACAACCAGCGTCTCATTAGAGGCAACATTCCAGTGGTTGTCCCAGTGTGTGAGCCCTGTTGTCCCAGTCTGTCGCTGCCTGTGTCGTCCTCTCTGACTTTCCAGACTCAACAACAAGATCGTGTCTGCTGTGGTGGAAATTTAGTCATGGGGTCTGTCTTTGTAGCGTCTTCAGTCATAAGACCTGTTCCCGGTGTCAGCAGGCTTATTGTATGTTGCAGCAGCATGCACCAGTATGTTACAGTATACAGATAATGACCAGTTTCTGCAGCTGCTTTCAATAGGGATCATGTCCTTTTAATGAAGGATCCTCACCTCAGGATTTTACCACCTGTGCCAAAGATTCAGTTGCCAGTGCAGGAAGTAGCGCCCGTTGTTGCAGCGAGGCAGAAAGTAATGAGGCAGAGGTCAGGATTGTGTAGTGTGTGTGTGTGGTGGGTGGGGGGGGGGTGTAGCATGTAGCATACTGTAGAAAAACAGCATTTTTTAATGCATCCTCCTCTTCACGTTCCCGCGGCACAGAGCCCAGCCCTCCCGATCCGTTTGTTCAGTTTGTGCGTGTCGCTGGTTTAAGGCTGAAAAATAATGCACACAACAGACTCTGTCCCTTCCTGCAGCAGCCGCTGTGTTGCACCTCCAGTCCAGTCTGTTGTCGAGGTGAGCTTCAAGGCGTCTGCATCCCTCCTCTCCCTCCTCCTCCACCTTCTCTCTGAGAGAGACACAGCCCTTGTCCCTAAGTCCACAAACATCTCCACGTCCCCAGGTGTTCTGTCCAACCGCTGACACACCCACAGCCTGGGTGCGTTGTGTCGTGTGAAAGCTCCTGCAGCTGACAGGACTACGGCTGTGCTCCTTGTCGGTGACCACCTGTTCAGACACACATCCCTGCGGCTGCGGTCTGTCCGTCAGGACAGTCAGTGATCCAGCAGTCTACCTGCGTGTCCTACAGCTCGTCTCTCAGCAGGACAGGCCGGATCGTGTTAAAGGAGGGGAGCTCCATGTTGCCCGACTTAGGCTTAGGGGGAGTGAAGTGTTTGGATGTTTCACGTTTGTATTTCTTCTTATCGCTGCAGCGTCCAGCATCAGCGCTCTTCTTCTGCAACTCCAAGTTGTAATTTAAGATTTTTCTCAAAGCTCCGATATGCTCCGACTTGACCGAGAGTTCAGGTAATTGAGCCAGATTGAACCGTTGCTTTATTTTCAATTCACTGACCCACTGAAAAAGAGGGAATCTGTCTCCGTCAACTCGAGCACGCAGCGCCTAAGGCTC